ATCTTATTTAATCGTCTTACTCCCGATGAAGTATAAGAAGAGATCTAGATTCTCCTAGAAGGGTGTTTGGTACGGATTTTGAGAATTTATTTTTCGACCGTTAGTACATGTGAAAGAAGAATTCAAAAATGAAGGTCGAAATAGTAAAATAATGGTCAAGAAATTGATTTTAATTGACTTAAAATCATTACCAAACACTTATTCCTTGTTTTTCTTTCTTTATATCAAAGGTGGTCAAATTAGCAAGAGGAATTAAAGTTGATTTTTTGGGGTTAACTTTGATGATTTCTGTTAAACAGGAGTAATGGTGAACTATTTAAAAGGTTAGGATGACGCTTGCAAAAAGAATTAAGAAAGAAAAAAACTTGGAGACAAAGTTGCACTAAATAAATAAATGGAGGACTAAAATGCAATTTTCTCCTGATATTTTCTCATCTTCTTCCATATAAACTCATTCCCCCCTTGTCTTCTCACACTCGCATTCATCAATCTAGAAAAAACCTTCTGTATTTCTCGGGGGAAAAAAAAATAAAAAATGGCAACCATGGCTTCCATTTTGGCCTCAAAAACCACTTTCCTGGATGCTAACAAATCCTCCTTCAACGGAGTACCAATTTCTTCCCCGACCAGGGTGCAACCCATCAAATCCACTTCACAGAACCTTTCGATTTCTGCCTCCTCGCCGCCTTATGATCTGAAATCCTTCGAATTTCAGCCGATCAAAGAGTCGATTGTTTCAAGGGAAATGACTCGTAGGTACATGATGGACATGATCACCTACGCTGACACTGATGTCGTGATTGTTGGAGCTGGCTCTGCTGGACTCTCATGTGCCTACGAGCTCAGCAAGAACCCATCCGTACGGGTATGTTCACCCACTTCCTATTATAATTGAAATACTGTTATTTGGATCTATGTAAATGCGAATTGAATTTATTTCCTTAAATGGATGTTGGTTTAATGGAAAGGAAATCTGTTTGTAATTCCTGCCTCAAATCCAAGTCTAATCAGATTGTTTGTGAATTGTGTTGGATAAACTACAATGGCCTCCCTTTTTGTATATCTCACTGGTTTGATGTATAGGTGGCTATAATTGAGCAATCTGTGAGTCCTGGCGGCGGAGCTTGGCTTGGAGGCCAGCTCTTCTCTGCTATGGTGGTCCGCAAGCCAGCACATCATTTCCTTGATGAGCTGGAGATTGAATATGATGAACAAGACGACTACGTGGTTATCAAGCACGCGGCTCTTTTTACTTCCACAATCATGAGCAAGCTCTTAGCTAGGCCAAACGTGAAGCTTTTCAATGCTGTTGCTGCGGAGGATTTGATTGTGAAGGGAGGTCGTGTTGGTGGCGTTGTGACGAACTGGGCTTTGGTGTCCATGAACCACGACACACAGTCCTGTATGGACCCGAATGTGATGGAGGCTAAAGTGGTGGTGAGCTCGTGTGGACACGATGGTCCATTTGGCGCCACCGGGGTTAAGAGGCTCAAGAGCATTGGAATGATAGACAATGTTCCCGGAATGAAGGCATTGGACATGAACACAGCTGAAGATGCAATTGTTAGGCTAACTCGAGAGATCGTGCCCGGGATGATCGTTACCGGGATGGAGGTTGCAGAGATTGATGGCGCACCGAGAATGGTAAGTGCCTATTCATTGGGGTTTTTGGAGAGTCAAAAGCTAGTTCTGAGACTCAAGGGTTCATTTAGAAGGCTTCTGATTTTGTTTCTGCTTCTGCTTCTGCTTTTGCTTCTTATGGAGGAGCTTTTAGAGGAAATTTGAAGTTCTAGAGCCAGTCGGACTTTTAGAAAATTATTCAAATATGTGAAGAAGCAGCTTCTTATTCTCGAAATCAGATTTTGATTTTTTACAAGTTCTGCCTAACAGATTCTAATAAGCTGTATAAGAGCAAGGCCGAAGTCATATTGTAATGTTCTTGGTAACTTTAAAATAGGAACTAATAACCGTGATGTTTATGTTGCAGGGTCCTACATTTGGAGCGATGATGATATCGGGCCAGAAGGCGGCTCACCTTGCTTTGAGAACCTTGGGGCTGCCTAACGAGTTGGACGGGACGAATGTGGGAAATGTCCAACCGGAGCTGATCTTGGCTGCTGCCGATGATGGTAATGAGATTGTGGAAGCTTGAAGAAAGTAGTTTTGAAGTGTACTACTAATGAAGTAGTAGTAAATGAAGGGATGTGAATAAAAAGTAGCGTTGGACATCTCTTGATATGAGAGAGGCTTTAGTGACTGCTTCAGTGTTTTTAGTGTTCTCTGTGGTATGAACTTCGGCAGTATTTAGTACTACTTTTAAGTCTTCCTTTTGCATCATTTGCCTTAATGTCTTCATGCTCAACGTGTACTTAACTTGCTATATGACAATATAGATAAAAGGATCATCCGGGGATTTGTGCACAAGACTCCACCCCCCGTACGGTACAAAGATTATTTTGCACTAATTTTCGCGTTTCAACGTGCCACGTTAACTCGAGCATGTAAATTCTTTTTAAAAAAAAAAAAAAAAAAAAGGTTGAACTCCAACCTTGAGGACTCTCACGGCTACGTTCCTAAAACTTTGTGAGGGAGGTAAATCGCGAAATGTGTCTCATCAGGTTAGGAAACAAGAGTTGTCTATACACTGCGATTATAAGGAGTTCAATT